ACTTATTGGAGAAGCTTCTAGTTGTTTGGACTAACCATCGGTCCTTGCTATACAATTAGTATCTGAAAAATATGAAATCATAATATATTGTTGAAAAGAATAGTTGTAGCTTTTTAATATCCATCTTGAATACAAGTAAGAGTAACAATATAATGTGTCAAATAACTTATTGCGAAGACTAGACTTGAAGGCTAAATTAAAAGACAAGGCAAAAGTCACTAACATTAGAAGTATCATTTTAAACCTAACTAAAAAAAAAAAAAATAGAAAGAAGCTATGCATTGAAATGCTTATTTTAAGATGCTTAGTGATTGAATGAAGGTGGGCAATATACAGTATTAAGATTACAGTCTTAGTTATGACTTGCTCTATTTCAAGAAGCAAATTTATGTACCTGATAATGCTATACTCTACAAATATATACTTCAAGAAGGACATGACATCCCAATATCTAGGTATTTAAGGCATAAGAAGACTCTAGAATGGATCTCAAGGACATGATTTTGGATAGATTTGAATTGTGATGTTTGAGCTTTTGTGCACTTTTTCGAGTCATATGAAAGTAATAAAGTAGGCAACATGGTATCTCTTAGATTATTGTACCTAATTCCACTATCTATGGCATATTAAGGATAGGTGATTATAGATTTCATTATGTGTTTGTCACAGACTCTTCATAATGATATTACAATTGTCATTTTTATGGATCAATTCTTGAAGCAACTTTATTTGATTATAGTGCACTCGAATATTGATGTTTTAGCACTTACACAAGTCTTTTTTAGTATTGTCTTTTGTCACTATGGATTATCTCATGTCATCATTTCAAATTGAAATCCACACTTTATGAGAAGTTTTTAGCAAGCCTTTTTGAAGATATTCGACACTTAACTTACCATGTCTATAGCCTTCCATTTCCAAACAAATAGGCAAATAGAGTGTATAAATATAACCTCAAAAAATATGTTGTAGGCACTTGTAATAGTTCATCATAATGACTGGAATGTATATTTGATGTCTTTAGAATTTTTTTACAATTATAGTATTTAAGCAAATACCAATCATTTACTATTTTTCTTTAACACTAGGCAACATCTAATTATACCAATAATTCTTTATCATCCCATCAACACCAACAACTTGATAATTGAGGAGTTTGTACAATGACTTACAATGATCTTATAAGAGGCACAACACTACCTTTTTATTATACAAAATCAATAGAAATAGTATGCAAATAACCACCAACAATACAAGAGCTTCTGAAAGGATAATAAAGTGTTATTTTCTAATACCAACTTACCACTTGCTACATCAATCCAAATTCGTAAATTAACACCTAGATAGCTTCGACTTTTTTATATTTCTATAATAAATTTTGATGTTGCATACTACCTCAGGTTTTCACCACATATTTGAATCTATCCAAGCTTCCATAATTTTCAATTGAAGGAAATTTATATTAAGCCAAAGTGCTTTTCGGATCGATACCAACTACCACCACTACTAGTTGTACTTGATGACCAACAAGAATATGAAGTAGACAACATTTTGGAGCATCGCTATATTTGTAGTGGTAGTAGACATCTACAACTTTAGTACAAAGTTCTTTAGAAAGGTTATCCCATCCACGATCTTGTGTTATAATACGACTATATGGTCAAAGATGATAATATGGATCTTATTATAGAAGAGCCAAGTTAAAAGATAAAGTAAAAAAATATAGATAAAAGATAGATAGATAGTAAAACTTTTAGTAGTAATGCTATCTTTTTTAAAAAGTAACTTCTACTTACCTTGTAGGGCCATAAATAAGGCAAAAAAAGAAAAAAAAAGATTGAAAAAATAAATGATATAAGTATCTTTAGGAAGAAGTTAAGAGTAAATTCTAGCAAAAATTATTTAGAAAAACTAGATATTGATATCTAAAGAAGGCCGGTTAAGAACTAGGATCGAAATCAGATCCCAAGGCACAAAACTGAGTCTCAACGACAACTCTAGGACTCTTTTGAAGATCGAGGAGTGGAATTAGAGAACAGACCTAATAAGATTTCAATGAGCATTGGTTTTGGGTGATTTGGATTTGTATTGACTTTGTAAGAGCTTTGCAAAGTCAAGGTTTGTTTTGGATGACTTCGATTTTGTGAAAAAAAATAGGGTTTATATTTTAGGTGATTTCAAGAGTTTTGTAATAGATCTATGAGTGAAATTTTGTTGGTTAATGGTTATAGTTGTGTTCAATATATGTTATGAATTTGAGCTCGATCTAATAGTTGAATTAAGGATTATTGAGGTTTAAGTGAGTCAAGGTCTCAGAAAGTAGAATTTTAGGTCTAATGAGGGTTTTAAAGATTTTTTGCAATCTACTAGTTGGATTGGAGTGAAATTTATATGAGAGGATATTAAACTTGTTTTCCTATATTTATGAGAATTTTTAGATCAATTGAACGGTGAAAAGGAGAGATATTGGCTCTGGAAGATTGATATCAAGGTTAGAAAAGGAGGCGAGCCAATACCTGAGCACGTTTTTGAGGATATCGACTATTTGGTAATTTCAATCCTTTTCAAAAATTTTGTGCTTGTTTTCAACTTAGTTTTTAAGAAGTTTGCAAAATTTGAGTTAAGATCAACAGTTCATTCATTAGTTATTGAGGTTTAATTCTATCATAGAAATTATTAGAGTTTGGTTAGGGTTTGGTTAGGGTTTGATTTAGGATTAGGATTTGGTTAGAGTTTAGTTAGGATTTGATTAGGATTTGGTTAGAGTTTGGTTAAGATTTGATTAGGATTTGATTTGAGATTAGGATTTGGTTAGAGTTTGGTTAGGATTTGATTTAAGATTAAGGTTTGGTTTAGGGTTTAGATTAGGATTTGGTTAGGATTTGATTTAGGACTAGGATTTGATTAGAGTTTGATTTAGGATTTAGGATTTGATTTAGGACTAGGATTTGATTAGAATTTGATTTAGAATTTAGGATTTGATTTAGGATTTAGGGTTTGATTTAGAGTTTAAGGTTTGGTTAGGATTTGATGAGGATTTGATTTAAATTTTAGAATTTTATTTGAATTTGTTTAGGATTTAAGATTTAGTTAGTTTTTGGCTTAAAATTTGAATGAAGTCCAATAAGATTTCAACTAGGATTAAATTAAGATTGAATTGAGATGTATTTGAGATATGTTTGTAATCATTCAAATATTTCTTTAAGATTTTTTATTATTTCTTTGGAATTCCTTTGAGGTTTTTTTGAATTTGATTAAAGCTTATTTAGCATTATTAGTGTTCTATTAGAATTAAGATTTTGTTGTTGCAATTTCTATTTTACCTTCTACATCCAGGTGTCCAGAGCATTCTCATGTAAGACTTTACGTAGTACGACAACGATGCATTGTAGGAACCTACATAGAACCTCATCCATTGCCAAGAGATAATTTGGAGATACCATCGAGAGCAAAGCAAGGACATTTTGTATTAGTAGAGGAAGTTTAACTATAATATGATAAAGATAACATATTTGTATTGTTGACAAATAGGGATAGATAGTTAGAACCATCTTTAAGAAGTTATGGAAGTCTCTAGAATTATAGCTAAGTTAGTAGACTATATAGGATCCATTGTGGAACATTCTAAAAAGAACTTAAGGTAGTTATTTAAGTGGAACCTATCATGAAACCTCCTAAAAAAGACTTAGGATGGTTATTTAAATGGAGCCTACCATAGAACTTTTTAGAAAGAGGTTAGGGCAGTTATTTAAGTAAAATCCATTGATATACCAATGAATCTAACTTTTTTCAAAAAAATATGACAAAATAAAAGTAAAGAAATATGTATATTAAAAAGAAACTAAAATGGCTATTGCCAAAAGAAAAGAAAACTAAAGACTCTTGAATCTAGACTAGAGTAAGTAAAGAATTGACAAGAGTGAAGAAGGCTTCACTCTTGCCTATATATATATTATCTACCTAAGAATCATATAGTGATGTTCTATAGGACCTACAATATGTGTTGATTTTGTAAGCCATATGTCTTAACTTATAAGGCAAGTTTTCTATGTGTATGCTATATAGTTAGCTTGTTCTATAAGCTATCAACATGTGTGACATGTGTCCAACTTGTTGACTAGATTTTTAATCTAAATGTCAACTATAAATACATATAAAGTTAAAATCGTATCTATAAAGCTTCTAAAAAGCTTATTTAGAAGATATTATAAAATTAATCTACTTCTATCTATTTTTACTTACTTCTATTTCTATTTTCATATAGATAATTACTAGAATAAATATAAATATCCTTGAGAGTATGTCTATGACTCTACACAAATGATTATACCCAAGGTTGAAGCTTGATAGTGTCTTAGTTTCATTTAAAGAACATATGAAGACTTTAATGGATTATTTTGGAATTACTTTGTATTTGTTTTAAAAGAGTAATATTCTTTTAATTGGATGTCTTCAAATTTGAATAAAAGCCCGAAGTGAATTAATATTACACTAACTTATTAGCCAGGTTTTCAACCTATCAATCACTTATAAATATATATTAAGGTGAAATCTCATCTATAAAGCTCTTAAAAAGCTTCTCTACAAGATATTCTTAAATTTATTTACTTTTATCTATTTCTACCTATTCATATTATCTACATAATTATTAGAATAAATATGTATAGTCAAGATAATATCATGAGTTGTATCAAACTAGCAAATAATATAGTTATGCATGCAAGAAAAAATATATAGAATTACAACATCATTATGTAAGAGAAAAGTTATAAGATGGAACTATAGAAGTGAAATTTATTCTCAATAAATATCAATAAGGTGACATCTTGATAAAATCTCTTAAGAGATTTTATTTTCAGCAAAATTATAAAATAGGAGGATTATTACAAATCCCATACAAAAAAGAAATAGAATATTGTGCAGATACTAAAATTAAGAAAGACTTGAAGATGAAGAAATTTCAAGATAGCATTGTGCTTCACGCAAAGTTTTAAAACCTCTTAAATTAATATGAAAGAAATAATTTATTTTGGCTTCATATGCTGACTAAGACATATAAATACCTAGGTGCATATCGTGTTAAATTGCATAATCAGTAGGAACATCCTCACTATTGGCCAAGGATTAATCTCTATTTATTGTTGTGTATTAACTGAATGAATTTGGAAGCAAATTTCCAATGAAACTCGTGGATGAAGTTCATCCTCGGGTTGCTTATTAAGCCCTATCGGCATTCCAGGGCCTAGAGCCTAAGTTGCAGCTCAAGCTCTCGACTAGGCCTTCAAGCCCTAATTCGACGACGTGATCGTCGTCACAATGCGGCGTTGTGGGTACGAAACGCAGCGATGCATGGACGATTAGCTTGCGGCGACGCCATGATCCACGAGCACAATTCATCGTCGATACAGACGAGGAGTTGTCGATGCTTAGCCTGCGTCCACTTTGCATCTTCTGGGTTCAAATTCACAGAGCCCTTTCGGTCTCCAAGCTTAGCTATAATCGATGGTGTACACGCACAAGGAATTAGTGGACCACGTGAGCTCCTTGCACCGCTGGCTCATCAAGCTCAGCACCACATTCGATGTTGTGGCGATGGCGTATCGGTAGCCGTCGGTGAAGACGGTGGGCAGCTCGGGTGAGACGTGGGTCCATGTCCCGTTGGCAGATTTCGTCACTGGTTGATGAAGCCTGCGTTTGACAGGAGAATAGGAGATGTCCCACGTTAGCTTCAAAATGGTTCAATGAAGGTATGGTGTTCTCTCTCTCTCTCTCTCTCTCTCTCTCTCTCTGTGTGTGTCTGTGTGTACGATTATTTCATCAGAAGCGTGATTCAGGATTTTGAATTGGAAACATTGTTGCGAGAGACTATCTTGTGGAAATTGAAAAAAGGAATGGGACCTCAGTCGACCATTAGTTGGGGCTCACCAGTCGGAGTTGCCTCTTACAAACACGTAAGGGATCTTGGACTTGGTAGCGTTGAGGGCGTTATATGCGTCGATAGCTTGAGCTACACCAACAGCCTCCATGGCAGACCTGTATAACGTTTTCAGAGCATGAATAGAATGTGGATGCGCACATTTCCTGTCGGTTCGAAGATTAATTTGCAGTTCGTAACCAATGGATTGCAGATCACTTGAACCGTTTCAAAACCTAACTGATTCCTTTCTAGTTATCCTGCCATGAACAGTAAAATGGCGTTTCTTCTAAAAATATTATAGACTAGTTCGAGGCTCTGTTTGAAAGCCGCTCTACTCAACATCCTCTTCAGGTTGGGTACCAATTCTTATCATGGCGTATCATGTGGTTTACCGAACTCTCTACGACTCAGCGAGAGAACAACGTTTGGTGTGAGTTTGTGTACTCACACTGCAACAACGTCCTTCGGAGTGACTGAGGAATTGAAAGCCTGGTTGATGGTGAGTGCTGTGTAGTTCCTTGCCGTGATCTCCCACGGCACTCCCGAGTAGAAAAACTGCGAATCCACCTCCACACATTGCCTGTAATCATACACAGTCGGAGTCTTTTTGGAGTTCAAGTTATATGTTCTGTTCGTACTGGCGCTGATGTACGCGAAGTACTCCTGCTCATACTCCTGCAATACCGGAATGGAGCGATTTCAAGCATCGTTTTTTCAACTGCCCGTCAGATATATTCCACAATGAGCTCATCTTGCTTTCAGGAAGCAAAACGTGTATGAAAGTAGAGAAAGGGGTTTTTAGTGATAATATTCGATGGCAATCGAATCAATTTACCTGAAGAAAGGTGTTTCGCAGGGGCGCTTGCCTGATACTGCTGGATGTTATGGAAGCTGCGAGGATCTCATCCGCCAAAGCCAGGCTTCCTGCTGTGTGGGTATCGAAGATGCAGTCACCGTAGAGGTAAGCGGCGGTGGGCCCATTAATCTCTTCAGGGCTGAAGCACAAGTCCGGGTAACCCTTCGCTTGGCCGATCCAATCCGCAAGCTTGCAGTTCCAGTTCATAGACATGGGAGTCACGCACACATCGCCGAGACGCGTGATCTGCAAAGTAGTAGCGGATCAATTGAAGAGTTATTCTTAAAATCTAATTTAAAAAAAGTAAAAACAAGAGAAAAAAAAAACAAAAAAACCCAAGCTCATTAATCTCGACACATTAAAAGTCGATTTCCTGGTGCTGACAACTATAGTTTCCCACACATACTTTGTGCGTCGGGTTGGCCTTCTCGCAATTGTCAGGGTTCAATATACCACCCACAGCAGCAGACCAGCCAGATGTCCCCACGTAAATTAGCTCCTTAAATCTCGATCCGAGGCACTTCGCGAGGTCGATGGCGCACAAGGCAGCTGTTGTTGGACCAATGCCTGCAACCAATCAATCGTAAACTGACGTTAACAGCAGTGCGGGTATTTGCGTGTCGTTGGAGATTTGCGATGGACTGAAGGAGGTCATGAATTCCTATGCGCACCAGAGGTTGCAACAATAGTGGGTTGGCCCATCAACTTTCCCACAGTGACACGAGGGCACAGCAATGAGCCCCTAGGAATGTACACCGGATTCTGCAACGACTCCTCGAAGTGGACAGCTTCTGGAACTCCCGAGAATTCGCCAGGGTCAGCGACCATGAGCACCGTGTATCCCTCTGCTCCGCTGAGTTCATCCAAGCATGCTTTGGTCCTTGTCAGGCTGCAACTGTTTATCCACGTACAAAAAGCACAACATCAGCTTACGGTCCCATCCAGAGGTGTATCCATTGGTCACCAATTTGTGGAGTTAATCTCAGCAAAGCACAGGAACAGAATTCAATGGCCGAGACTCCGATTTTCGTTACCACGTCGAGCGCAATCTAGCAGTGAGCAACAGTAGCAGCAGCGGCAGCAGTCCTTTCGCCATCTTTCCTCCTGGGTGGGTACATGAACTAAGTGAGAAAAACTGGGAAAATTTCAGCGGGACCAGAGGCAGAAACGAAGCCAAAATCCAGGATAGGAAAAGTTCTGAGGGTATATAAATAAACAAATTACAATTAGAAGACTGAAGTGATCATTGGAAGGCTAAAAATAACAATTAACGGGGATTAATTTAGAGGCGGAACTTGTCTGCACGACTCTGTCGAACAACGAAAAATCACGCGAAGTGTCACCAAAACTTATACATGAAGTAGACTGCTTTAAATGCTCGTGTTTTCTGTCAAAGCAGACAACTGCGCATGGGGGCATCACAAGGAAATAGAAAAGAAAAAGAGTTCAATCGTCTCCCAGCTTGGCATTCCAGGATTACAAACTAAGGCAAGAGGACAAGACACGAGTTTTCACGCTGAAAACTAATTTGGTGCAAAGGTTTTGCCATCACTAAATTCCGACAGAGAAAAGGTTACCTCGCTTCAGACCAACTTAGACTTCTGAGCTCCGGAAAACAAAAGGGTCCCTGCAGCACCACAATTAATCGAAGCAAGAATGTAAATTTGCAACCAACATGAGCAGTACATCGGTGTTCCAAAGTGTTTCCAAACACTGTGATCCACTCCCAGCCGATCGTATTGACGTCTAACTGCAGCCTTGGAAGGTCCGACTTATCCCCATGCGCAACGCATGGTAGCAGCTAAACTATCCGTATCTCCACAGCCAATTTCCTTTTACGACAGGTCCCTGTCCCTCTACCGTCTGAGCAACCGATTGCTTTTGTTTGCCGCACATGACTACTGCAATAAGTTGAACTTCCACTTGGAATTAACAACCTCCTTCATCAAACGCTTCCGCACCCGGCTTCCACCGAAGTCCCGGAATGAGTCTTGACACATGGCGCCAAAAAAGTCAAACCAGTCGCAACCAATCATACGTTGTTAAACGAGGATCAACACCAAGAATACAATATAATATGCCATCACCATACCAACCGGCGACTACCAAGCAGATGGCAGCACCCGAGAAGCCGCAGAGGAAGCTCATTCGGGTTACAACTGGTGACCACAAGTGAACCTGTCGGAGCTAGTCAGAGAGAGGACAAAACTCAACATTAAAGAAGATGCAGTGGGGTCCGCAAGCTCATAGTCACGCCACCGGATAGGCCACGATGGAAAAGTGAGCAATTTTTTTCAGAAACTTGGTCAGAGCTGTACAGAAAGAGGCAACTCCACGCTACGCTGACGACTCTGTGGGTGGCGGTGAATCGCACCCTACCGCGTGCAGCAGCATTCTTTAAGTGTGTCCCAGCGTGGGATACGCATGTGACAGGGTTCCAACCACCTTGCAATGGCCTCGTGCTTGCGGCATCGCAACCGAGGGACATGATGCAGAACCAGATGTGGGTTCCTGCGATTCGACCTCGCAGTGTGCGGCCCTTGAGCTCGCGGTCCATGTAGTAGTCGTCGTCGTCACGCACGGTTGTTGCTGCTGTTGTCGGTTTGTGTTTCCTGTTAGTTGTTGGGCTTGTGCGAGCTTCACGTGCCCCCTCACTCTTGTTTATGTTTAGAGAATTGTTGAAATCTACATCCCCCAAATTGAAATAGCTACACCCCACGTGATCTCCTCGTAGAAAATTGTCCAATTTAAAATTATATTTTATATTTTTGTTTTTTATTCATTCTTTATTAACATTTTTTTGGTTGCCAAAAACACAAAAAAACTCATTTTTTCCAATTTTAGATTTATAGATCAAAATTGGGATGCCAAACTCGCCCTAAACGTAGAAACGTGCTTTTTAATTGTAGAAACTTGCTTTTTAATCAATTAAAATTCTGTAGAGGTCATGTCAGATGTAGCAATATCAATTCGAAATCTAACGTTAACAATTATATATATATATATATATATATATCTGAAGGTGTGTCTTTGTGTGGGTGTTTGTATGGTAGTTGTAGATTCTGGTTTTGATGTTCTATGTACAAATATGATTTGAAATTGTTTTATTTTTTATTATTTTGGGTTGCGTGCAATGAAATGAATACTATTTTTTTTTAGAGATATGGGTATCTTTTCTTGTACTTTGCACATAATGAGCCTGGCTTTGAGCTTGGAGTGATGGAGCCCACCATTTTTAATAATTTTGTTTTCTTCCATGCTTGGTGGGATGGGTGCTTGCCATGTGACAAACCTAGTTTGTAGGATAATTGTTTGGTGATTGTTAGTGATCTTGTAATTATGGAGATTGGAGGACACACCAACTATTCATGTTTGTGTGTCCAAGTCTACATGTAACTCTTTTGTGATTGAACAACCATGTGTAGGACAATTGCCCATGACTATTTTGGTTTGATTTTTTAAAATTTTAAACTGACCTTGTGAAGATGTTTTTAAGGATTTTATTTTATTTTATGGTTTAGTTTGATGAGAATTATGTAAAGCTAATTAATTTTAATAAATGGTGTGAATTGTTGCTAACTGAAGCGACTGAGAGTCGGTTTGTTCTCAGAACTATTCTGAAATCTGGAAAAACTGCGAAGAGTGAGAAGTTGAGTGAGAAAACTCTTCGCAGTTCTGAGAATAGACAAATTTGCTTGTCTCAGCAAAATGCAGCTTCAGATGTGGAAAGAAATCAAATGGGTGCGAGATAACGTGACATAGTTTGAAGTGCGTTCGTTCAATTTCATCACTTTCAAGCTTCTTGAGTCTGCTTGTGCAAAATGCCCAATGTTAAGAGATTGTGAGCTTCAGCTCAAGATCAGGTGAGGAAGATCTTCAGAAGTACCATGCATTTGTTGCTTCCGACTAAGTGTGAAGCAATGCTCTTGGATTTGAATAGGAAAGTTGAAAATCGAATATGGAAAGAGGTAGTCTGCGAAAGCTGTCAATGGACAAGTGATCAAACCTGAAACCTGTGAAATTTCAACAGTCATTTGTATCACAAGCCCCATAAGACAAGAAAAAGTTGTCACATGTACATCCAGCATGTGAGAATCGATAGTTGCTGCTCATTTTTTTGAAACATTGTATAGACAAATAGCTACCCTAAAATGGCTGCACGGAACACATTTTGTAATGCTTTTGAGTGCACCTAATGGTACAGAACAGTAAGAAACCCTGAATATTTGCATCACAATGTCTCTGCTTCGAAACAAATGTCGTTAATGATACAGCTGAGTTAGTCGATTGGTGATCCGACTCATCAAATAAAAAAATTAAGTGTAATTACTCCCTTAAAATGGTATTGTCTCGTAGCCTCTTGTTGCACCTTTTCAGAGGCAACCCTCAGTCAACGAGAAGTTTCCAATGACGTTGATTAAGAGCTGCAAAATTACTTGTGAACATGAAGAAAATAAGCCAGGTGGGACTTTCTTCAAGGAGTAAGTGAGTTCAATTACCCCGATTGACATTGCAGACGCATACCTCACAGCGTCATAGACCTGGATTATCTCGCAATGTCCTCAAACTCTACAAATTTCATTACTTAACATTTAAAAAGTCATCGACTATGAAGCGGAATGGCATGAATGATTTGAATATTCTCGATTAATCCACTTGCAGACAACAGGATGAAGAATTCAGTGGAGAACCTCACGAACCAAGCAGTTGCAAATCTTTTTGATGCTAAGTAAGAGCTGTAATAGACATTGATTATGTTCAGTCATCACTATTCAAGGTTCAGCATGAACTCCAATTTAGGTGACGGCAGAAGAGGAGGGTAATCAGGAGTATAATAGCTCCAACAGTTCTGTACTCGGGGGTTGAAGACAGCAACACCAAGAAACCTGCCATGAGCGAGATTGCAGTGCTTGTGAAATTGCTTACGAATCAAAATACAAAAAATTGAGTAAGAATGTGTTAGCTCATTGATAGGGTAGACTTGTCATGGTTGGAGCATAAAAGTGGGAGACCATGAAGATGTGAAATAAAATTACTCAACTTCTCTAATTTACACAGGCTTCAAATTGTATTGACCCACCTTATTGAATTTCTTCATAATCTTCCAACTGAATTCGTTTGTAGGAATGAACGACTAAAATTGCTCTGTAAACAGAGTCATCGATCGGGTGCAAAGATTATGTTCTTCTCAGAACTGCAGCTGGCAAGATGATGGGGCATTGGGAGAACTCTATATACACAGCCTTCAGCGTCTTCTCGAGCTTTAGACCTTTTTTCATAACCCAAGCTCATGTCAATGATATCCTGGGTGATGCTAGACCTCTTCTCTTCGTCGTCTTTTGCCTTCAGTCATAGGATGGGTAGGGGACTACCACCAACCTAGTTCAAAACATGAGACTAAGTGGAGAAAGTTACTCCGCTACAGAGACACTTTTGTCAAGATGCATGTGCTTGTGGACCAGGGATAAGTTTTGGCTGCTTGTCTTCAGCTGAGGTCGTGGCTTCATTTGGGACTTCTAACACGTTCACTTTCTCCGAGGAACTGTTGATTGCAAGAGTCGGCAAAAGTGAAGATATCATGGTCGAGCACCAGTCAATAATTTCAATATCCTGAATCTCCAAGTAAAAGTTTATTACAAGTTTCCATCTTGTCACGAACTGCTAGCAAAGGCTTCTTTGCTTGCTCATAACTTCTACTTAAGCTGGGATGTGTTCGAATTGCGGAATTGGTGTTCTTGTTGCATTGTAATGACTTTCAAGAGCGGATTTTGGTGGCCAATTGCTACTTCAGTAGAAAATTGGTTAGCAATGCCCTTAGACTATCAGGGCTATGCAATTTTGGCCTAATCCAATGCATTAGCTATTAAAGAGATTCAGACTTGAGGTATTTGCAAAACCAAATAATTGGAGGTTGATTAGTGATATTTTCAAGATCACTTGAAGTATCAAATCCAAAATATCATTGTTCAAACTTCATTACCATCTTTAAGTTTTTGATCTATCACTTAATATTTTCGTAATTTGAAAAATTCAAAGAGTTGTGTGGTATAGAATCAAAGAAGGAAGAGAGTTAAAGCAAGTGATACAGTTTTTGATATTTCACCCACCTTTCTTTTGATATTTTGATTTCAAAATCATATATCTTACAAGGTGAGTGATTTGGTGAAATATCATTAGATACTTCAAGATGTCATTATGGATAAAATATTATCCAAAAAGGCCAAGTCTAAATTTTCTTATTGAATTGACCATCAGTCATTGAAGTGGTTGATGGTAAGCAATATATTGACTAGCAAGCATGTCAATTGAACTCTCACCTTCTAAGAATATAACTTCAATACTATGTCAAAGATAGGAATGACGAATATGAATGAAGATTAACTCATTATGAACTCAAACCTTGAATTGAAAGACATCATAAATTGGTAAAATGACTGGATTAAACCATTAATTAAGTATTTAGTAATGTTGGTGGTGGCCTATCTAGCATTAATTTTAGGGACCAAAACAATCTCATGCTGTCATTGAAAATAGTGACAATGGAAAGATCTAGAGTTGAAATATGCAACAAAATCCTACAAATTATTTGTCAAAGACAAATAAGACTATTTCTCTCTACTTTTGCATTACACATTTTATTTTAATTTATTTAATGAGAATTAATCTCTAAAATACTTTGACTTAGTGTTAGTTTTTTTCATATGAGTAATTTATTTTTTATAATAAATCTCAATAGTAATCTTCATAATAAACATCAATCTATAACCAATTTTTATTTTTAATAAAATATTATTAAAAATCTATTTATATATATATGTATATATATATTAGAATTTTTTATCCTTAGAATTTTAAAGATGTAAGCTATGAAAATATTTACATTTTCTATATTGATATCAA